TAATAAGCAACACCTAATTTATCGGTACTTCCCAATACATATGGGAGATAAATCATGACCTTTATGCATATTTAATACTCCCTCCGTCCCAAAAAGTTTTTCCTGTTTCATTTTTTGTGCATCTCATAAAACACTTCTAACGACATTTAGTGTTGGTGATTTTAGTGTCATCAATTTATTTTGTGTAATTGGATTTACTTTGATCGGACAAGAATTTAAATAGACGTTGTCAAACGAGTTAGGAGGCGCGGAGTGCGCGCTTGTTCAACGATATTATAAATTCACTGCAGGGCTCCGGGGGGCGGCAGCCCCCGGGATAGCGGGGTCCAAGGGGCGGCAGCCCCTAGCGGGTTCCAAGGGGCAGAGCCCCTGGCCGGGGTGGGACAGCTTGGAAATTTTTTATTTCTGATGTTGTTTCTTTAAGAAAATCCTTAAGATTTTCGTGACCGAAGTCCAAAACGGTAAAGGACTCGTGCACAATGGATAAACGTCGAAATTAAGCCTTCAACCACAAGAGACCTTTCGTTCAAACTCGCACTTTTTTCTTCTTGCGCGAACGTACGCGTACATCTACGCGAACGTTCATGTCCGATCACAAGGATTTTCGACTCTATAAAATATAGTCTCGTGGTATGGGTTGAAATATAGATTCTCGAGTGCTTGTTCTGAATTAACGTATTATCCGATTGAAGTATTTCGTATACCCCGAAATAACTTTGATCTGAAAGCGTTTCGTACGCGATTCGTTATTCTATCGAGTTCTTCGTTTAACACTGCTTCGCAGTGTTCTTCATTATCTAAATCCAACATTTAGAATGCCTAAAATTTACAACATTTCTTCTTTATTGTGGGTAGAAGTTATTTTGAAAGTTTTTTTGGCATTCAATGCGGGATAGAAGAAGTGTTTTATGGGATGCGCAAAAAATGAAATAGGAAAGACTTTTTGGGACGGAGGGAGTATATTTCTAGAGCACCAACAAATTTATGGCTAGGGAGTTAATTACTACCTCAATTAAATTTACTGCACGCTTAAAACTAAAATTTGCATTAAATAGGACTAAAATATAAGTTATTTCCCAATGTAGGACTTAAACTTTTTTATTTCCTAAATAGGACTTAATAATGTCTAGGGTGAGGAACAATGTCCAATAATGATGGACATTTATTTGAATAATGACTAATTGATAATGACCAGGAAATAAAAATATATGGTCCTATATTGGGAAAGTCATTATGTTTTATTCCTATTTAGGTAAATTTCTCAAACTATTAATGTCAAAAGAAGAAAAATATACGCCTTCGTCCCACAAAACATTTTTTATTTTGAATTTTAAAGGATTTAAGAAGAGTGTATTTTAGTATTGACTTTTTGAAAATGCTCTAAGATATAATAGGTAAAAGCAGTTGTGATGGGTAGGATAGTTTTGAAAAAGTGTGATGTGATAGGTAGGTTAAGAATTAGTAGGAGTAACATTAACTTTTTTCTAGAAATGAGAAATATTTTTTGGATCGGATGAAAAAAGAAAGAATAAATATTTTGTGGGACGGAACCAGAATAAGACACAAGAAGTATTATTATCTAAGACTCGCGAGCTGTTTTATTGGAGTATCTCGTACATATTGTATTATTTAAGAGCCCGGTTCCATGGCCACTAAATTCCAGTGCCACTAGATTCCAGTGGGCACGGAAGCCACTGCCCCCCTACGGAGCTCCGTTCATAAAATTGATGATTCCTATCCCCTCTAACCCCCCGGTAAACCCAACCGCCAAGTCCCGACCCAAACTAATCACCCCACCTACGTCAATTGCACTTCGTAAGTATAAAGTCAAAACTTTTGACTTTAAAGTCAATTATACTTAGGAGGTGCAATTGACGTAGGTGGGGTGATTAGTTTGGGTCGGGACTTGACGGGGGGTTTACCGGGGGGTTAGAGGGGTAGGAATCATCAATTTTATGAACGGGGTTCCGTAGGGGGGCAGTGGCTTCCGTGGCCACTAGAATCCAGTGGCCATGTAACCGGGCTCATTATTTAATGATTGAGCCAACCTGTTTTGTGGACTGTGAGCAAACTCTTGTATACTCTGTATATACTAATTCAAGATTAATGAAAGGCATCAAATTGTTTTAAGTATCGTAGGACTGTGGGGTGCCTATTATTTTTTTACTATTACTCGACTACATATTTCTAAGTGAAATTTATACTAGATAAGACTAAAACATGAGTCATTTTTCAATGTAGGACTTAAACTTTTTTATTCCCTAAATAAGATGTAATATTCCCTCCGTCCCATAAAGTGTTACCCATTTTGACTAAAGTTGAAATTAAGGGAGTGATAATTTTGTGTTGACTTTCCAAAATTACCCTTGATGTGATGGGTAAAAGTAGGATGTGATGTGTAAATTATTAGGAAAAAGGTATGATGTGATAGGTATGCTTTGAAAAAGTAAGGGGTAAAAATGGTTTTTTAATGGAAATGGGTAAGGGATTGTGTGACGCTTTTTTTTTAAACGTGTAAATCTTTTTGGGACGGAGGGAGTAATATCTAGTGGGAGGAATAATGTGCAGTGATGGTGGACATTTTCTTGAATAATGACTAATAAATAATTACCGATGGTGCTACATTGGGAAAGAAAAACATATGATCCTGTATTGAGAAAGTCATTATATTTTAGTTCTATTTAGGTAAATTTCCCATTTGGTACATGCTCTTTCCCAGTTTATGCATGTCCCTCGTTTATTGGGATCATCTTAATGTAGCTATGCGCGTAATTCGCTATCTAAAGGGACATCCGGGCCAAGGAATCTTTTTACGAAGCGATAGCAATCTTGACCTTACTACCTACTCAGGCTCAGATTGGGCACGTTGTCTTCTTACTTATCGGTAAGTCATTGGATATTTTTTTATGCTAGGTCAGTCTCCTATTTCGTAGTGGACAAAGAAGCGGACAATTATTTCTCGCTCTTTTGCTAAACCCGTGCGAATATCGAGCCATGGAAAATGTTTGGCTTGAAATACGTTGGATCCCAGGTTTGTTAGCAGCTTTGATTGTCCCGTGTGTCGCTACTCCGAAACTATATTGTGATAATACGTCTGCACTATTTATTGCTGCTAACTTGGTATGTCATGAAAGATCCAAACATATTTTTGTTGACGGTCACATTGTTCAATTTAAGAATGCGTTCACCGTTAGCATATTGTTACCCCTCAAGTCTCTACATGCCTTCATATTGCTGATATTTTAACCAAGACGTTGTCTTGTCCATTATTTGAACTTCTTGTCCAAGTTGGCAATCTTAACATTCATGCGCCAACTTAAGAGCAAGTATTGAAGTATCTCATACATATTATTTTATTTAATATTAAATTTTGTAATTGGGCCAATGTATTTATGGGCCGTATAGTAGGCAAACCCTTCCATATATACTGATTCAAGATTAATGAAAGGAATCAAGTTACTTTTCAAGTTTTTGATATGTATTTGTACGTGTTGGTGGTTCTTGGCATATTACTCATAAGTAGTTTTTAATTCAAAAATTACTTATAAGTTATATTTATATTTTGTGGAAGTAAAATAACTAGAATAATAGATAAGTTATCTTTTGTGGAAGTAAAATGACTAAAGTTATAGACAAGTTAAATATTTTGTGTGGAAGAAATACGTCACGAGCTGATTTATAAGTTGAAAAAGACTATAAACAGTTTTGATCAATATATAAGCACATAGAAACAAACTTGGTTTTAGAAAGTTTTGTTTGTAAAATCTCGGAAAAGCCGATGGAGTGACATTCTAGCTAGTCTTGGAGAATGTTTGGGAGTGATTAACTTGTCTATAATGTGATTTTTCATAAAAGCTGAAAGTAAAAGCACCTCATAACTGCTTCTCCAGAACGGTGTTCTGTACGTGTAGAAAAATAGTGGTGGAGAAAGCTACAAGCTGACATGCTTGTAGTGGTGGAGAAAGCTACAAGCTGACATGCGTGTCGATAATGTGATTTTTTCACAAAAGCTGAAAGTAAAAGCACCTCATAACTGCTTCTCCAGAACGTTGTTCTGTACGTGTATAAAATAGTGGTGGAGAAAGCTACAAGCTGACATGCCAAACAGATTAAGACTACTTCCATTTCAAAGCAGAAGCTAAATTTCTAAAAGTAGCCATGAGAAAGTGGCAAATTAGGTTTGTAATCTACCCCGGGTAATAATGGATATTTTTCTATTCTTGTGCTTATTGGTTTATTGCTAATAAGTAATTTGTAATTTATAAGCTACTTATATTTTAAATATTCTTTTGTAAAAGTAAAATGACTTAAATGAGAGATAGGTTCTTTGAAAATATTCTGATGAATAGCTTTATAAATAATCTTGTCAAAAGAGATTTTTAAAAAAAAAGCTTAAAAGTAAATACATAAAGTCTAATTATTTTTTCTGATTTAGAAACTACTTATATGTGATCTAGTTAGTACAAATAAACATATGATCAACTGACTTATAAATTAAAAATGACTTATAAACACATATAGAATCCTCATTCGGCTATCATTTGTTGACTCTTCATCCCCTCCCTTTCATCTTCTCAACTTAACCCATTATATATATCCGATCCACTGACCACTCAATACATAAACATCAATGGACTATTCCTCCGTTCTGCGGAGGAATAGAATCCAACGACACCAACTACTCTATATACCCTAGGATGAATGGCTAAGAGTAGCTTAACTAGTCCATCACCATAAACATATATTCTTTCCATCTTAGAATATTCGTTCAATTTAATTTTTAGTCAAATTAATTCAAAGAAAAGTAAAATATCAATTAGATTAAATTTGTATTTCATATTAATATAATTAAATAATGTATCGCAAGATATATAATCGTAAATCCAAAAAGAGTATTCGGTGATCAAAATTTGTTTAGTTTGATTCAAGAAATCAAACTAGTCAAACAGGTAGTACTCACTATGTTATATTTTTTCTTAAATTGCACATACCACAAAAGAAAAAGTCTAGATGTTTTATTCCCACTTGGCTATATATAAGTTGATAATATATAGAGACTAATTAGTACAATAAAACAGTACCTTAATATACACTTTCTTTGTCCAATAGCAGAAGTTGGAGCTCTAGCTTGATATAGCTACTTAATGAACTATGTGAAAAAGCCCAGTCTATGGACACACACACACACACAGATATAGGGTTTTAAAGCCCTAACAATCTTCATGATATATGGTAATGGTAAAAGAAGTAAAACCAGAAGTTTCAAAGATAATAGAGACATATACACAAAGATGTCATTGCCAGCATGCATTGGTTCATGTGCACAAGATAGATCCACTTCCAATTCATCAAAACAACTCAGCAGTCTCACCTAAGGGCATACCCAAATCCACTCCCATTCCCATCATTAGCTCCTCTTGTGCTGCTTGAGCATTGCATGCTGCATCATCAAACAGCCATTTTTCCAGCAATGTAAGGGGCATGTTCGTCTCCGCCGCACCGTTATCATCATTATTGTCCGTTCCCGCGGTTTGGGCGACGAAGCTCGGCTTGCTCTCGACCTGGAAAACGCCCCCGTTCTCGTTCACGGTCGAAAGTGCTTGGGAGGCCACATCCGAGTTGAAGCTGAAGATGGACGAGCTGGAACCCGCCATCGTCCCGGTTTGGGTTGTGAGTGTCTCCGAGTTGGACCGGGTCGGGGAACCGGTCCGGCGACCCGAGTTTTTCTTCGTCCAGTTTCCGAGCAGTCTCGCAATGTTCTCCGTGCTCGAAGCATATGGGGCCGCGGGAGACGGGTGGACCGGGTTGGGCAGGTGGGCGGTTGCGGTTTTGGGTTTGTCGTCGTCGATGGATAGAGCCTCACAAAGGGCTTGTTTGGCCATTTGTATGTCAGTTTGAAGCCTTCTCTCCCATTGGCCCTTTGAGAGTGATTGGTGGTGAGTGGAAGAAGAAGAAGATGATAATAGTGAGGAATTATTATTAGGGCCATCTTGCTGGAACATTGCCTGATCATCTTGGCCGCCGCCTTGCATCTTTTTGAGTTTCTTCTTGAGATGGGTATTCCAGTAGTTCTTTATGTCATTGTCTGTTCTTTGAGGAAGGTATGAAGCTATTGCTGCCCATCTGCATCCATATTTATTAATTTATTATTTCAACCCTAGCTAGCTATCCCCATCTCTCTTTTTCTTTTTTTTATTGTAAGTAATGGGCGATCTTAATTCTCAACTATTGTTAAGCGCGAGTTGATATATATTGAAAAAACAGGCATTCATATTATGCCCCGTACATATTTTCCATTTCTCAATTCATTAATTTGCTTTGATTGGAAAATGAAAAAGTTGTTTAATTAAATTAAATATTAATAGAAAGTGAAAGATTTTTGGTGGAAGAGAAAAAAAAAATATAAGAGAAAGTATTTTTTTCAAACAGAGAGAGTATGAATTATGACCACCTCTCTTCGTTCCAAACAAATTTCCCTTTCATTTTTATTTCACTTACTATTAAAAAGTTATTATTACTTTTTTAAACTCTTGCCCTACCTATTATGGAGTATATCATATTTATTAATTATCAATCTAACTATTGCATTCTACTTTTACAGATCATATCAAAAACAAATTGAGGAAGACAAAATAAAAATATTTCTCTTAAAATTTCATACAAGTCAGAAGTGGAATAGATTTTAGGATTGACTAAACTTTACGTTAAATTATGTTCATTCATTTTTTTTTGGAATCATATTCATTTAATTTATGATATAATATACCGAGTAAAAAATAGAATGGTCCATTAAATGAGAATTGGGATTGTAGAAAATACACCCTCTATTCATATTTAACTAACTATTACGGAGTATGAAATATAATACTTATTTGAAATATATCAAAGTTGAATGAATGATGATGTACTCGGTATATCATTTCTAAATCCATTTGATTTTTTATGTATTAGGAAATTTTAATGATCAATTAGTTATGAATGAAGGTGATTTATTTTAAGAAAACAATCTACTTTCTTCAAATGATAAAGAAAGCGTTCCACATGATATACATGGTGCATTTAATTGTGGGACCAAGGTACTGCCCCCACCTTAAAAAATTAAATATTGTGTTCACTCCTAAACCTGATTATCATAATTTTGGCTTCACTAAATTAATGAGATTTCTCTGAAACAGTTGACTTTGGTTCCTTTTTACTACCTTCAATAGTAAGAGAGCTTTTTAATTCAAGCTATTTACTACCACTTCAGCAAAAATTCATGTGTGCTAGAATTAGTTGGATATATTTTCGGGATAAGGAAAATTTTCTTCCTAAAAAACCTTTTCGGTTTTACTCCCTAATTTTTTTGGTCAAATTGCGACTCTTTAACCACAAACTATAAAAAGTAATATTTGTCCGTCCCTGAGTGTTTGTCCACTTTTGACTTTTGGAACTGTTCATCTAAGCACTTTGACTCATCAAATTCTCTTAATGTGTAAGCCTAAAAATAGTCATGTATGATCTTGTTTGATTCGTCTTAACATATAGATTATTAATATATAATTTTTTAATATACAAATTACAAGATAGAATGGATTAAAGAAATGCATTAGATGGTGTGCAAAAATGAAAGTGGACAAACACTCAGAGACGGAGGGAGTATTTAATTATAGAATAATGTTTCAAAGACCCTAAGTTCTACATGTAAAATGTGAATCTCCTAACATTTTTTATGGGTTGACACTTACCCGGAGTAGATGTTTTTTTTATACAAAAAGCCTAATTGTTTTAACGGTGTTTATAGCTAATTAAAGTCCATAAATAAGTATGGACCCAAGGACTATGTAAAAATTCCTCCATTATAAGTATAAATTTAATATTATTGCGTTCATATTAATTAGGATATTACTTTGATAAATCAAAATTTTAATTTTTTTTAAATTAAATTATATTTATTTTGTGTCAAAAGAGTATTACAATTTGACAAACAAAAAAAATAAAACAAGAAACATTTTTTAACCGGAGCAAGAATTAATCATAATTTTATTGATATACTTTTGGAACCGAGTATAATTTATGCAACGGATAACCACCGCCAGTTGAGTCACCATTTGAGCTTCTTAAACACAGCAAAAAAAGTCAACGATAATTTCAATTTATCATTAGGAGTAGGCTTTATAAATACTTTACCAGATCTAGGACAAAAAAAACATCATATCCCCTAATTTCAAATAATCATAATTTTTTCCTTTAAAAAAAATTATTAGTCCGTCCGTAACAGAACTATCTTCATGTTTAATTTGCTTTTTCTTAATAAAAAATTTCTAAATTTTACCATGAAATTTAGAAAAAATATATTGAGTTACTCCGTATAATATAAATTTAATATCGATAGATTAATTTTGAAATAAAATTTAAGAATATGATAGTTTTATAATATAAAATTATATTTAAAGATATTAATGGTCAAAACAATGCATTAGAGGTCGTAAAAAGACTACAAGAAGATAATTCTAGGACGGTGGAATATATATAATTTTTTTCGAGCATTATCAATTATATTCTAACTATTATATATATATAAATTGTAAGCAACAAAGTAACACTTCAAGAAATTGCGTTTGCACATACGGTTTTGCATGTGTGAGATTTTATTTGGAGCTCAATTCAAAGTTGACTTTGTGGGTAGAATGAATGTATACCTATTTCCAAGAAGGGCTTGGAGATGTATAATCATCTTTTCCTCTTGTTCGGTGAAGTTGCCACGTTTTATTCCGGGACGCAAATAGTTTGTCCACCGGAGTCGGCAGCTTTTGCTGCACCTGAGCAACCCTGTGATGCGTGTACAAAATTAAAGCAAAACACAAAACACTATATAATCACATAAATTAATTAATTAATGATTTCTTTTTCCCTGCTAAAATAATTAATTAAGATTATAGCGGTTTTGGAGGATTGATATGATACGAATTTCGAAATCAGCGATAGAAATTTTGAAATGTAAAATTAACATGATTTGACAGATCTGAAATCATGATTTTTAGTTCAGCAACGAGGGCGGTCAACGGTTAAGGGACATATCAAAGCTCCAATTCAAATTGATATGGATCTCCCAAGTTCAAGAGATATCGAAACGATCTCTTTTAAGAAATTTTAATTATTCGAAAACCTGATCCAAGCACATGATAAGATTATATCAAATAATATCTTTTTCATTCTCATTTTTTTTTGGGTGGATCAACTTGGTCTCATAAAGAACTGGTAGGAGGAGTGCATTAAGTACCACCTTTAATGAATCAAACCTACTAAAAACCCTACA